GAATAAACTCGAGCAAACCACGCAGACATTAGTTGGATGAATTATATGAAGTATTTGGAGGGATTTAGGAAAAACCTTAATTGCTTGGTAGAATTGTAATAGGAGTATTGGACAATAATTGTCACAAAAGAACATTAGCACCAACCATTTTATAGTTTGTTATGACGCTTATACCTAAACAAGTATTGCTAGGTGATTCTGCTGCATATTTATATAACAATTTTCTCGGGCTTTCCTGACAAAAAAAAATTACTTAAATTTGTTTTTAGAACTCCACCGATTAACTGTATAATTTTAGCTGTCCATTTTAAGATCAAAGATTTGAAATCACAGAACTGAACTGTGGAATGGCAAAAGAGCAGGCTTCAAACTGCAAAGAAAACACTAAATCAATAATCTATCATGCTTACATCAAACCAATTGGAACAGCTGGTTGGTTGCAAAGAGATTTTGAGGTCAGGAAGCATGGAAAAAACCTTGTATCAGGATATGCTGACAAAATATTAATTATGATAGATCTCAAAATTATTGGATTTCTTTTAGATGAGTAAAATACATATGAAATAAATTAAAATTATATTTATATTGACTTCAAAATAAATTTAATAAATTTGGAACCTGTTACGATAAAAAGAATTAGTTAAGATATCCCAATCCTTTATTTTTCTCATGGAAAGAATAGCTATTTGTTTTTTGGTCCATTAAGAAGAAAAAAAACCAATAGAGATATGATTTTCCTATGTTATTGCTTCGGCAGGCAGAAAAGAAGACACATTTGTGAAATGGAATTCATAATCCTGATAAAAGTGCAGTAGTCTTACGATATAAGAAGGCTCCTGGCAACTTTTTGGTCGGGGAAAAGGGTAGGAGAGGTGAGTTATATTACCATCGAATCTAGGGAAATACATGAAGGTGATCAGCAGAAGAGGGATATGGAATTGCCATGTAATCGTATTCACAAGAGAATATAAAGCTAGGTGATAGGGTATTTTATTTTAGGGGCATTTACATGCATACCCCTAATTCTTATGTATTTACATATCCACCACCAAAATTTTATTTTTTATAATAATATCATCTAATTTTTTCACATCACATGTAAAATACTACCATTTAATTTTAAAAAGTGAAATTCGAATTTCATTTATATATAAGGAGGTATATATATGTAAAAATTGAAATTTTGGTGTTAGATATGTAAATAAATAGGAATTCAGTGGTATCTTTACTCGAACCCATTACCTCTAAAGATAAGGGCCTAAGTGCCAAGTACCAAGTGCCGACCGCTATGCGAAATCAAGGATTGTGGAGAAGGGATTAAAAAAATCATGTGATTTAAGAAGCCAATCTTCCTTACTAATGGTAAGACAATAATATAAAAGGACAGCAAAATTTATATAACATCAATAAAAAAAACAAAATTACATATTGTAACATACCTCCCTGCATACAGGACATTTGGCCCCTCGAGGTGCTGATTTAGGGCCATCACAAATTAGAACTGATGCCGCAGCACAAACACAACTTTTGCAAAAAAGATGTCCACAGCCCAAAGCATATGAATTAAATACAGTATCCTACCAAAATAATCCCATTAAATATTCAAAACTTCAAAATAAATTTTCAATAAAAATGTCAAAAAACACTAAACGAATGAGGCATCATTTTCTAATAATTCCAAAATTACTAATTTAGAAATTGATTCTTGAGAAGGAGCACAACCATTGAACCATCATTTCTCAATATTGGCACGAAAACAAAAAAAAAAGGTTGTTCATCTAGGAAGGTAACTTAGTTTTTACACACACACAAGAGTGTGTTTATACATGCTATCACCTAAGTGCTTCTACTAGAGCTTTCTTAGATCAAATGCGAAATGAATATATCCGTGTTAGGGTTGGTGTAGCTCCAGCGGTGGACAAGATTAGAGAGAGTCATCTTAGATGGTTTCGTCACATTAAATGTCGACCATCTAATGATCCATTTAGAAGCTCATGTCTTAGATTCGACATATCTTAAGAAAGGCAGAGGTTGACCTAAAAAGATTTGAGCATCTTGTATAAAAATTGATCTCAATCAATTAAAATTAAAGAAAAATATTACAATCAATAGGATGGAATGGAGAAAAAGGATCCATGTAGCTGACCGCACTTAGTGGGATAAAGCCTTGTTGTTGTTATTGTTTGAATCATTCTCCCATATTTTTTTTTTGTTTAAAAAATCTTCGCTCTATGATAAGGGAATCCAAAAGATAATCCATAAATGGTGAAAAAAATTGTCCTGTATGTGTTTACATTGCCACTAATACTCACAAGTCAAAAAAAAAAAAAAAAAAAAAAAAAAAATTGCCACACATCTCTAAAGCTGAAATGATCAACATGATTTCTAGACTTGACTACATCAGAAAAGTTAAATTTGGGCTTTGCATTCTTCAAAAAACTGTTCTTAGTAAAGTGTATCCAATAAGCTCAATGAGCTGATATCTATGGCACCAAGATCCATGGTCAAATGGTGCCTTAATGGCAACAAAGACGCCTCATAATTCCATAAAATTGTCAATTCGGATAAAAATATAACTTCATTTCGCATGTCATGTTAGGCAGCTCTGATTTGTACATAACAGATGTCACTTGAGTATTCTCTACATTTTAGAAATTTTTTTTTTGATAAATTAAAAGTTTTTTGTCAAGATTGACAAACCTTCTCTTCTAAATGGTCTGGATTTCCTCTACTCACATTAGAGGAAGTGAAAACTGTTGCTTTTATTATCAAATTCTTTCAATGTGGGACACTATCTATACAGATGTTGTGAATTTGTTGAATGACAACTGCAGTATCATGCCTGCATTAGGTATGCTATGTTCTGCTCTCATTAGTCTAATTTCCAAAATAATATATTGTGATCATCATACAGACTTGATACTCGTTAGTTTTCTATACAGAAACATAAAAATTTTACTAGCCTTGGCTACCAGAATCAAAGTTTATGTCCATATTGGAGGGTTCTTCTGAAGGTGCATTAAGAATTATGGATTTTATTAGTGTAGCATATGAAATTATCTATTACTCATAAGAAAGCTTGAAAAATTCATCTTTAAATTTCATTTTTGGCATGGAATTTGAAAATGAACTATAAATTTATTCCTTCTATCCTCCCCAGTCATTTCTTCCCTCCTCTTTCCATTTCTCAGGTGAAAGAATCTAGCATGAAGGGTCTCGTTGTCTTTGCAAGTTACTATGTTGGACTTCATAAACTAATAAACTATTTAAATGTTATAAGGGGCTAAGACAACGGCCCTTCGTCGCCTCTTATGTTTTACGTTGTGGTGACATTCTTTATGAGTTGCTCTCTACCAATATGGGTTGGATCAATGAGGTTCAAATTAGTTCCGAAAGGCCTCCTGCTAGTTGCATTCAATTTTCCACTAAAAACTCTTCTACAGTAGTTTGCTTTCAAACGTTCAATTATCTTCCTTAAAACACATTTGCTTTTTATTTGAAAGCATTAATGATTTGAAAATCAACTAATACAAATATTCTATAATTTATCTTAAAAATCATGTTGTTAGAGGCAACCTTCTCGTTATGTGCTGAATTGTTCTATGAAAAAACTTCCAGTATTTAGGTATTTACCTTTAGTCTTAAAAGATTACAAAAATTCATTTGGATCCCCTTGATTGACAAAATCCATCAAAAGCTTATTAGGCAAAAATGGCAACATTTTTTCTCTAAATAAGGCAGAAATACTTTAAATAACATAAACCTCACTTCTTATCTCATTATACTCTTTCTTCCTTTTTCTTTTGTTTTTTTTTTTTTTTTGGTTTTTATGTGGGTATCAACTAAATAACGAAATTAGAAGAAACTCATTTTGGATAGGCAACGAAAAAGGAGAAGGCCATATTCAAGCTAGTTGGAAAAACAGCTACACGCCTAAAGAATTTGTTGGCCTTGACATTATTGGCCTTACAGCCGTTAAAATTTCTATTCTAAGCAAATGGATCTTGAAAGTCTCAAACTCGTGAAAACTCCAATTTGGTGGGCATAGTTCTCAATGTAAAGTATATCATTATCACTCGGCATTATAGATTATGAAGGCATTTTTGGCTAATGTTTTACATTCATTCAAGGTGTTAGAAAATATACAAGTTCAAACGGGGTACAACCATTTGATATCAATAATGTTGCAGCCTTTTTCTGTAATTTGTACTTAAGGGTGACATTCACCTACTATTTAACTGCTGAGTGATAAGTAGTATTTGGAGGAGAACCTATCAGTTTTTTGCAATTCCAGTATCTAAGCCTAACAGTAGTATTCTACTTGGTTCCATTACGTGAGGGGTAAACATATCAACAAAGATTGGACAAATATTTAGAAAGTCTTCTTCTTAGCAATCCATTTTGGCTATTTGGGTTAAATGCAAAAATAGAATATTTAGTAATAAGAAAAAATATGAGAATGTTTTCTGGTTTGATATTTGTTGGTTTGGTTATTTCAGAATTGGAAATGGCAAAGCACAACGTTTATTCTTTCATCAACAGATTCCCTCAAGTTGTCGACACTGCTAAAAAGCTCTTTTTCTTTTCCTTTTTTTTTGTCACTTTCTTCTAATTCCTCTCTTTGTTTTAAATAGAAGGGCAAATCCCAGAACATTAATATATAATATATGCACTGCAGAGGCCCAAACCCAAACCTTGTAGCCTCCAGATTAAAACTGAAAAATAAATCTTCAGTCTACCTTCCGTGTTAAAATAACTGGGAACACAATCAAACCGCTCAAATATAAATGCATGATAAACCCTTTAAAAAGCCCCAAAGTTATTTTCCTCCCCAAAAAAAAATACAATTATCACAAGACATTATTAAGAATGAGAGGACACTATGCTGATAATACAGGTTTTTATTCAACTATTCTACTAAGCTTGACTATGGAAGTGTCATGAAGAGTGAAACACAAATATGCTGATTTTGGCCCCATTTATCACATGTATTAATATAACCTTATTGATAAATACTAAAACTCAAGCTCTTTAAATTTTTCAAAGGGCCATACGGCTTAATAACCCTGGGCCCACAATCTTGATCAGGATTTTCTCTAGAACCATAGGCAAAGGTCCTTACTTTATTCTAATTTGCAGTACATCACATTGGTACAAGTTGACACAAAGCTAATATTTTGATCGTTAGAAGGTGAAGTCTTGGTGCTATAAAATAAAAAAATCTGGAGAAAATCACCACAGCTAAACTAATATGGTTTTGGGTGGCTGTTTAGAATAATTAAGCTTGAAAACATCCAAAATGACAAAATGGCATAAAGGTATTGGCAAAGCTCCAAGGCGCCAATAACAAGAAAACTATGATATTTTACATGAAAACGAAAAAAGCAAAATAATTAAAAAAATAAATTAATATGAAGAAAGAAGGGACATATAAATAACTTTGCACTTAATCAACCTTGATAATCTAAAAGCATCTAACCACTAACAGTGCTATTAGATATGCTTCAAGACTGAAAACTAAGGACAATATCTCCTCCAGTATAAGCCTGGCTTTGATAGGTGACAGTTTAAGGAAGCATAAAAGCGGAAACTTACCAAGCAAATGGGGCAACTCAAACTGTATTCATAGGTAATGGAATCAAATAGAACCATTGTCATCACAGGTTGGGAATCACTAAGATCACAAGAGAACTTTCGGAAAAATGCACCGGGTTCACCAGCATCTGTACCAGCACAGTTCAAATAAAAAGCACCCAATTCTATAAGCCAAGGTGATTGCAATAGTTCTATCCGTTTTGTGCGCATCACCATCTTGAAGTTTCTACCATTAACAGAGCCATGAACCTTAAGAAACAAAGCAATTACTTCAGAAGTGCATTGATAAAAACTTATCTGTGAAATACAAGAATGAGGGTCACCAAAAAAGCTCACTTTATCATATTTCTTTAAAATTTTCCTTATAGCAGTGGCATTCATAGTAACATAATCAAGTAACATCCTCACTTCTTGAGCCGAAGTTTTCTGATCATCTGAAAAACAATGGCTCAAGCGCCACATATACCGCTGGAAACCATTAGAAATGTGAAAATGGAGAAGCCGCCTAACTCTAGAGCTGAAACATCCAGCAATGTCTGCAGCCTCCTTTGAAAGCTCATCAAAAAACTTCTGATCACATGCTAAAAATTGAAATAAATAATTCTTTGGTATGAGACCAGATATAAATATATGGGCTCCAATGAAGCACACATCGATACTACAAGCTAATTACACTAGTTTAAAAGATGTTTAAGAAAACATTGGAAGAGAATGAAATTTGCCAACATTCTTGTTAGGCATTAACTGCGTAAAACCAAATGTATTAATCCAGACGGTGTACTGAAAGAGAAGGCAAAAGGCCACACTAAAATTAACAACAAATTGAATCATCCAAAAATGACTGATTGCATGGTTAAAAAATAAAAATATTGATAAAAAGCACTGCCTCCATTAGGAAACATTTAATTCCTGAATTATATCACTGAAATTAGGAGGTTAGCATGCCTTACCTTCAAATAACGTTTTTCACTCCAAGTTAACAAATTTAAATTTGAAACTGTAGAGAGAGCCTTCAAATAACGTTTTTCAGTCCAGATCAAGTTAACAAATTTAAATTTGAAACTGTAGAGAGAATTAAAATGGCATATTTAATGCATTTTACAGGAGAATGAAGTGGTAGAGACTAAGGACAAGGAATTATATATGATACGCCTAGAAATGCCATCAGAAAGCCATGCGTACGATTCAATAGCTATGGACTAATTATTCATTTATACTCAAGAAGTCTCACGGAAAAGATCCCAAACATTACTCAAATAGTGATCACATTTTTTTTTGGCCATGCAAAACTCAACATACATGGAGACACATGCGCATATGCAAGTTCACATACACACATACACCTCTTAACAATATGCCTTGTCAATGCATGGGACATTTTTCATTCAAAAGAAAAAAAAAATCATGTGTAAGGGGGAAAAAAAGAATAAAGTTCGAGAGATTTTCAATTATGAAGTTCATTTCTCAAAAAAGATATCTTTTGGAAGCAAAAATTGCAAATAAAAAATGAGTATTAGTTAGAAATTACTTGATTCTTAGAGCGATCAAGGTTTTTTTCTCTGTATCCAATAAAGTTTAAATAAAACATCTGTTTTCTGTTAATAATATTTTGAATATACATATAATGAACCATGCGTGCATCTGTTGTTGTTCTCATGAAATATTATATGTGAATAAAACCATTTGTGATCAAGCATAAATGTTGACAGAATGCCGGAATCTTGAGACAACTCAAAAGAACTAAATTAATCTAATTGTTAGGACAAAAAATAAATTTTATGACCAAATATGCTAAGAATGATGAGACAAAGCCCTAAAAGAACTCACATATTGTATTGAATCAACTGACAATGAAATAACCCAACACTAATGCTTGAAACACCCCAATTGGCTATGTTATTTATGGTTAATAGGCTCAGAATAGACCAGAACTCATAGGAGCAACATTTCACCTCGTCTTGAGGATCATGCAAGCACCTTTCGATCATGTTGTTGTGTCCTCACTTTTTTTTTTTTATTTGGTTGGCGTGTACTCATTATTGTGCAAATAATTTAATGAATTAGAGTAGTAGGACTTCTCGAATTTATTGCAACATCATAGACCTCAATTTTGTGAATCATGCAAGGCCTCACTTCTTTCAAAGAAAAGGACAAATCCATACAATTTGGTGGAACATTATCATTATTTTTAGGTAACCCCAAATTCGAGATG